CCCCTCCCTCCTCGCGCCCCCTCCACCACCCTCCAGTCCTCCAGTGTCGCCTCCAGCAGTCTGCTACCGGCGTCGCCCCCACCCCGTCCGCGCGTGCGCCGAGGGCCGAACCGAGCCGAGGGCCGAGCCGAGCGGAGCCGAGCGCGAGGGGGTGAGTTGGGCTGCGTCCGAAGAGCAGCACCCCGCGGCGCCGTCGTCTCACTCACTCGCTCGCGCAGCACCAGCCGCCCCTCCGGACTCGGGGTGGCGTTCGCTTATGCGGAACAGGGGAGGTGGATGGTAAAGGCGGATAGAAGCGGTTACCGTCACTCCCCCTTCTCTCACTCTTTCTCTCCTTCCCTCCCCTATCGTCTTCGAAACCCCACCGCCTTGGCGCCCTTTCACCTACAACGGCCGGATGCGAAAGGAAGTTTAGCAAATTTTTGATCACTCAATATCGCATTCGAGGTCGTTCTGTACAGATTCGTACTCAAAAAGAAAGCCATCATGAAATGCACATTTGTTGTCATTCGACTTGGATTGCTTGGATTGATGAAAGTATAATGCACTAGAAGATGTACCGGGTGTAACTGTGAATGCGCAGCAGTGTTGCGGGTTTGCCTACCCAATTCGCCCGTAAGGCGCCATGGCCCCTGCCGCCCTGGCCTACAAAACAACACCTATGTTGTTTAGATGAAAACTTCCAACACTGTACTTGGTGCTCTGGAGGTCGGGGAGGTACTGCGACGAGTGGACACGGCATAGGGAGGCCTCAGGTCGGTCTTTTCCCGGGGTGTGGTGTGGTGGTGCGAGTGGGAACAGCACATCCCTTTTCGAACACGTCCCTGGCGTCGGGAAGGGGGTTCTAATCCCGACGGTGGAAGCCGTAGGACGGCGGTATGTCCCCTCGTACACTAACAGAAAACTGCTGCTTGCGACGCGAGACGCGAGAGGAGTTGAAGGGTCCAACTTTCCTGAGAGCCAACGACATTGATGGATGGAGTGAGTATGGCTCGTTACGCTTCCCTCGCGACACGTCACAGGCTGAGAGTATCAAAGCAAGAGGAAGTTGGCTCAAATATATGCATCTTTCCGATAGAGCCCACCTGAATATGTTCGCATACATAAAAAAAGAACTACTTCGAAAAGAAAACAAAACAACCTAAAAACGACAACAGAGAGGCAGACAGCCCAATGATTAAAGAAAAACAGGGTGTCGCGGCCGTCATTACCCCGTTGCAGCCCAGTTGCGAGAGTATACGCTAGCACGGAGTAGTGATGCCGTCGGACTGACACCGTGTCCTAGGGACTTGCTTTCTTGCTTTTTGTGCCGAGTGTTTTCATGTCTGTGTGGTTCCCTGTCAGTCCGTAGGCCACAACTATGTTCCACATGCAGCCTTTCATTACAATTTTCAGTCATAGGAGTTTTGAAAAAAAAATTAAAAAGAAGTCGTAGCTTTTAACAGTCTCATATTTAATATTCATCCATTGCATATCCACATCATATATACATTCTTTATATGCAGCATGCGTACTTACATGTACATAATTGGGTACACAAAACACACAAGCATACAGTTTTATCATTTTCTAAGACAGAATAACACAATGTGGTCTAGCACAATTGTAAAGTCCACAGAAATAAAAGAGATGAAGACAAGAAATGCAAGTACCTGGGGGCAGTCTTGATATGAAAAACAAAAGGAAAAATGTACTTTCAAAAGACGTTTCCTATGCCTCATTCAAGCAGACATAATACAATAACTGGCATTCATGAATTTACACACACAAATTGCAAGCAATGCCACAAAGATTATCACATTGAATTTTGAAAGGGTATGGAAAGCTTATCCTTTAGTATGTGGCATGCTGACATTATAGAAGTAAATAAATTTAAATCCAACTCAAAAACAGACAAGTTTAATGAAATAAATATTTATCACAAACTGTACATGATGGCTAAAATCATTGCAGGAGCAATGTTGTTATTTTCTTACTTACTAACAGTATAGACACTTTTGTGGTGGTCTTACTTAGTTACGTGTTTCTTAAAATGTAAAAAAAATTGAATTGCGTAGACACTGCAAAGTCTTTGTTCACTTTCATGTACCGAAAGAAGAAGTGTAGTTTGCATATCTTCTGAACACTAAACCCCACAACTTGTTGATGTGTTGACGTGTGTGGGTTGTTCTTGCTCCACCATACTTCCATGATGATGTTACTTTCTCTTCAGCTGATGAACAAATTTTTTAATTGCAGTGAACAGAGCCACATACAGAACAGCACTTCCCTACAACTTGCAGTTTGGAAAGGGAAGAGTTTATCACTCACTTTGTATTCTAATACTTATACACAGCATGAATTCTATAACACTCAGAAAGAGATATTATGGACTCCATAATTAATATTTGTGATTTTGTTTTCAGGATTCAAGAGGATTTAATACTCAGTGGATCATGCAAAGAACTTTAATACAACTTTCTCTCCCTTACTGAAAAGGAATGATACTTGCTGTGATCAAAATTCAGCTGGGGTTTTTGCTGCAGCATTTGTCATAAATAAAATCAAGGCACTGACTGGAAAAGACATTTGGTTCCGACTCTTAAGCTATCTGGCCCTTTGGTTTAAGAGCACAACATGTATGGCCTCACAACTGGGACTGAACCCAAAATTTCAGTCCCATACCTCCACTGGCAAAAAAAAAAAAAAAAATTACATCAGATAAAATGAAAAGCAATTATCATTAATCAAAGATAAATATAGAAAGATGTCAATACTGAGGAATACTGAATGACACAGGTTGTTTCATCACGCTGCTGAGGTTGAGAGAGATATATTGAGACTAGGAAGTCCATAAGAACATGAAATGTTTGGTTTACTTAATGTCAACTTATAACAAGGAACTAAAGATAAATATTTTCTTACCCTCAAACTTTTGTACATATCCACATTGGGTAACTAGTAAAAATCAATACTGGTTTCCTAGAAGTACATAGCACATGTACCTCATGAGCAAAAAAATAAAATAAATCATATTAAGTACATTAAGTTAAAAATAATAATGACTAAAAGTTGAAAGCCACTAGTTAACTCAGAACTCCTGACATGACTTGCCTTCACTTAGTTAGGTAGTTCATTGACTCAGACATGAGAAATCCATTCACTTTGAACCTAGGCACTTTGCCGTTCATGATCAGACTGTAAAAACTCAAAAAAAAATAGCACAAGGCTTGAGCATTTGTATGTTACAATGAAGGAAAGAGTGCTAACCATGATTGGAAAATGAAAAAGGATAAAAAAAATCACAAAGAGTTCATTAAAATGTTGAAAAAAATATTGCAAATAGATATACTTGTGCCATAAACTTCACAGTCAAACTTTGCATTCCATGATTGAAATAGTTCAACAGTTCAAATAAATGCAGTTTTGTGACAGTAATAGACATTTTGAAATTCTAAGTATAAAACACGGTATTGCACCTTTTTAAAATTCATTTTAAAAACAGAACGTATTTCTGATTAAAATTTGACACATCTCAGTTTCACATACATCTTTGTATTGTCCGACAGTAACATAGTAAAGCAAAGCAACAAAGCAGAATTGAAAGAAATGCGATATGTTCTAAAATTAAGTTATAAAAAGTGAAACTCTGAAAATACTTCCTGTAATAAGTCCATCAGAGTAGGTTGAGGCAGGTGAGAGGGCAAGGAAACATGAGCGTACGGTTCGGTACAACCGTAAACACAATCGTCATACTAAACCATCATCTCGTTTAAGATTGATGTTCTGTTCAGCACAGAAGTCTCTTGTTAGTGGGAGACAGTTAAAGTAGGTACAAATTTCGCAGTCATAAACGGGAATAACGTAAAATAGCGCAATCAGCGCAGCAAATAGGAATGTAGAGGACAGTAGGCACACCCAGATTAGAGCTATTTTGCGTTGCCTGTCGTATGGCCCAAATGACACAAAAGGTAAGAGAGCATATGATAGTAAGAATCCAAATATGAATCCAAATACATGTGCATAGTTGTCTACCCAAGGGAGAAGACCAAGCACAAACAGCATCAAAGTGATACCCAATAACTTAAAAAGTGCATGTGAAGGCCTTTTTAACATGGGCCACACATTCAGTACTTCCACTATGAGACAGGCTAACAGTCCAAATTGTGAACCAGCAGGACCAACCTAAACAGAAAATATAGATTTTAGAAGCCATAAATTAACACATAAGTTTGATTTAGATAAGGTTGGGAAAATAATCTTACCTCTGCTCGGTATGGAACAAATATGGCACTTGCAAGGTTCCCGGCTACACCAGAACCAATATATATGCACCCAATTCGGAAGGGTCCTGTGAGCTTCTCTAAATCTCTCATCAAAAAATACTGAATTACTATGGTTATCACCAGATGGAACAACCTGAATAGGGCAGTAAAAATAGTTAGCACATTACAGAGGAAAAGAAAAATTTACAATAAATCATAGAATTATAGAAAATTACCCTGCATGAAGAAATAATGATGTCCAAAGCCGATAAAATTGGTCTGGAACTTCTGGAGTATAAAATGGCATCATACCACATACATCATCCAAGCAGGAAACCTAGAAATAATTCAGTTTTGTTATTAAATTACCAAAACAATAGTAGGTTACAGATACACCGTTTTATGAAAATTTCTTATGTTTTCTTCAGATTTGAGGATGATATCACCTACCTGTGAGCATAGGGATGCTTCCTCATGAAAATATCCCCTCACAAAATCACAGTATTCTTTTGTTGTGATCTCACATGAGCCATGAATTCCAATGCAACATGGATGACCAATGACCTCACACACCATATGCTCAGCAGCTTTATCTTTAGACTGAAAGCGTCTTTGAGGTGGACCTCGAGAATTTGTCTTCCTACAAATTGGCCACTTTGTGATATCGTCTGGCCACTCAAATGGTGCTATTGAGGCTGGGGCCTCACAATATCTGTGGAAGAAAAAGAAAAATTAATTAAAATATGAAACTAGTTTTGATTTTATTACAACATAAATTCAATGATGCATACTTTGGATCCAAACCACACACGGAACCTGATATTCGGCCTCCTGGCCCCAGATTTCCAGAGCTCCACTTCTTCCATAATTCAATTGTATACTGTAATAAGTTGAAAAGAAAAAGGTGAGAGATGTTTAATAGAAGAGCCCTCTAAGAAGACAGTGAACATTTCTTTATAAATGCTTGTTTCAGAAGCTGTGGAAAAAAAATTACACTTCAAATCAAAATCACTGCACATGCTTGAAGAAAACTGAAATGAAGATTATTATTTTCTCCACATCCCAACATTGCTACAACTAGAAACAAGCAGGAAAAAAATGGTTTTAACAGAACATAAAAACAATAATTAAAGACAAAATACTAATGATTGACAGGTTTAAATATTAATCAAAGTCTCTTCTAAAAAAAAAAGAGACGAAAAACAGGGAGCACTGAACATATGAATAAGCAATTCAAGACAATAAATGGAACAACTACATTCAACCTAGAACCATTTTTAATTTTTTTTTGCAGTTGACCTACCGGTGATCTCGTTCCACGTGGCAAGACCAGCAAGAGGGAAAAAGACAATACAGGTCACACACATGGTACATTTGACTATTGAGTCTTCAATACATGATTTTTTTAAAAGAAAAAAAAAGCATCAACAGGAAACTCAACATTTCTGGGTAATGTTTTGTGTTTTATAAAGTAATACTTACTGAGCAATCACTTCTAGAGCTCTGAACACAACCAGACTCATCATTTCTAATGCAACATGCTGTATTTCTTTCCTTCATTCTACTTTCTTCTATTTCCTTGAGAATTTTTGCATCTTTTCTCATGCAGGGTCCAAATTTGGCTCCAAGATGTATAAGATCCGCCTACACAAAAAGAAGACACAAATAGTCAGTGATGGAAAAAAAAAATCAGTCCACATATATTGATTAATATTATGAGTTTCTTAAACTTACTGCTCTAGGACCAATCCAGAAGTTAGCTGGCTCTGAATAATCAACTTGCTTCAGAGAGAGGCTAGTTGTTAGGACCTGCAAAACCAAGGCGTTCCAATGATCAAAATGTTATGATCAAAAGTTTGAACACCCATACACAATTTTGTTTTTCTCAGTGAAACTTACCAAGCCGGAGCGCTGAGTCAGGTTAATCCCGATAGTCCCAAACCCGTAACACGCAATTGAAATAATAAGAATGAGGATTTGCACGGTGGTGACCCAGTACGTGAAGTAGGGCCGGTGATCCTCCAGGTCCTCCAGCTGCTCCCTCACTTTCGGTTGCCGCGCCACTGACCGCTTCACCGACCGCCTGGAACCACCACAGACAAGACGTGTGAGGCCACAGTGTGGTCACAGGCCAGAGGGCGCACTAAAGGTAGGCAGCCCAGCACTCACCCGAAGAGCCGGCCGACGACGCCCATGCCGTACTGCCTCCTGTCAGAGTTGTCCTTGACCCTGTCCACGAGCGGCGGCTGCATCCGCCTCAAGCCCACCTCCCTGCAGGAGCTCTCGCCCCGCAGGTCGGCTGGCTGTCGCGAGGCCGTCCTCGTCCAGCACCGGTCCCTGCGGACGCACAAGAACAACCGTGAGTGACCGACCGCCTGGGGAGGACCACCGGCAAGAGTGGCGACAATCAGAGGCTGCTCACGCACCTGGCGGGAGTGTAGCTGCCGTGGTAGCCGTGGCCGCCATCGACTGCGTCGCGCAGGTGCTCGCGCTGCGCCGCGGACGCCGCAGCTGCAGAGGTCGGCGCCGACCCGGACGGGTCCAGCAGGTGGCTCAGCTCACCGGCACCCGGCACGGCGCCGTCGAGGCCCGCCGGCAGCTCGCGCGAGTCCTTGGTCACTTGGTCGAAGAACGGCTGCAAACACGGAAAGAACAAACCGCATGAGATGCAATGCTCTCATCTACCCAATGTTGGTCACCCGACCGACCGCGACGCTCACCTCCTGCACCGAGTGCAGTCCGACGGTGGGCGAGGGCGTTCGCAGCCTGCCGTCGTCCAGGTTCACCTGCGGCACGGTGGAGGGCTGGATGGACCGGGACAGCGTCCTGGCCAGAGCAGGCTCCCTGGCACGTTGCCTCGCCAATCGCTGCACCGCGCGAAAAACAAAACAACGAAACATATTACAAACCGCACACAACAGGGTGGTGCAAGTTTCTACAATCATGTGCCCCCTAGCAGTCTTGATCCTTCGCACAATCCCGCTGCAATCATGTGAACATGAACATCCTATCGCAATCCAGCGAAATCTAATTGCAATCGCATTATGCGCGTACGCAGAACGTGTGAGATGTGGTGGCGGCGGCCGCCCCGCATCCCATGGCACGTCACTCCCGCCCTACTCAGTCGGTCGGTTCTTTTTGCCCTACCCCCCTGGACCGGGCCGGGGGTGCTGGATGCTGAGTGCTCGCCCCGCCCCGCCCCGCCCCGCC